AACAAGATGAGAGTAACTCACGCTCGGAAAGCCTTGTCGCCCAATTCACCATACACGTCATTGAGCTCGAGATGGTATGCAGTCTCAAACTTTGAAATTGTCGTGACAATCTGGCTAGCGATAGACTGAGAGCCGTTTTCCTCCGTCGGCAGTGGGAAAGAAGCATCATGTTTCGTCGCGAGTTGTACCTGTATACCAATTATCGTTAGCCGAACAGCATGTACTGCCAACGATGCGTCGTGCGACAACACTTACATTGCCCTGCTCGTAGTAATGTACATCGACGTTGATGGTACCGCTAACCTTGCCAACAGCCTTGTCTACGACCCATCGGGTTCGCCATCGTCCGGTCCTATTTATTGCAGGTCAGCTTGATATTCCATCGTACATGAAGTACGGCTGACATACCAGAAGTTGTTGGGGTTGTATTTGTTCCCTACAATCTCCAAGGTGTACGTTGGGTTCTCCACGCGTTGCTGCTCCCTCTTCTCGACGGCCGGTACCTCAGTCTTCTCCTCTGCTACGACTGCGGCATGTTCCTCGGCCTTCTCGGTTTCTTCGGATGCTCCTCCTACAGCTGGCACATCTTCTACTTCAGGCTTATCGGCGTGCTCGGCCTTCTCGCCGCTTTCCTCCTCCTCTTTAGCCTCCTCTACCAGTTCGTCAAGCTGGTCCAAGCTCTCGGGTCGGACAATCTCGTCTTTGTGAACCTCTGCTCCGCCAACAGCAGGCGTAGATGAAGGCTCCAGATCACCAGTCCCAACTTGCTCCTCAATGACATCCGTGACTGGCTCCGATGGCTCTTCGGTCGTCGCTGTCAGTTCAGTGGGAGTCGCCTGAGCCGCGTCGTTACCCAATGATTCAGCAGCCGGTACCTCTTCAGTAGCAGGACCGGCCGCTGGCACAGGTGTAGGTTCCGGTGCAGGAGGGAGAAGAGGGAATTGAGAAGTGGAAACGGAAGAACAGCCGGTTGCAAAGTGGTTCTTGGTGTATGCTGCGAGGGATTTCGCAAGGGCGGCGCTGCGCGAAAATCGTGTAAGCGCGGTGCGGAGGGGTTCTCCATGCGCGACTAAGAAGAGAAAGCGGCTAAATGTCATTGATGATCGTACTCACCGGAAAGATTCCTCCTCCTCTGGCAGCTCGTAAGGTTGATAGTCCGACACGGCCTGTGTAGATCATAGTCAGCAACAAGCCAGAAGTGAGGGGTTGGTTCGGTCTCACCAGCGTCACATGGTCAAAGGCAAAACTCCTTTTCCCTTCAGCATCTACGTATCTGTCTTCGTCCTCTGCGCTTCCAGGCAACACTGCAGCAGTCGATAGAAGAGACTGGACAATCGGCGAGAAACAAACGCAATCAGCTAACTGACTACCCTACGCGTTCACGCCAGATGGGTAAGATAGCAAGCTCACACTATGAGCGGGAACACCTTCTGAAGCTTGATGATCGACGACGTGAAGCTGAGAAAGGTTATATGATCGAAGAGCAGGCATGACGTGGGTCATCAATGCGTTGTCGTCCGAGATGATAGCTCGAATGTCTGTGCAAAAAGCCGAGGTCGATATCATCAGCTTGTCCATCATCAGATAGCCTGTGAGTCCGTGGAGGGCAAAAGGGCTCAATCTTCCGCCATGGGGACTCACCATTGATCACGTCGCTATGTAATCCCTCTTATGTCAGCTACCGCCGATTCACAGAGGTACAAATGGCGAAGGAGCGGGTAGGTGGTTCAACTCACTTGATCTCGCCGGGAGGGGTCTGCTCCACAAACCCAGCGGCTAATTTGCACTTTTCGTCCAGCGAGAGATCTGCCATCGTGTATGGGTAACAATGATAGCTGTTATGCTTGTTTAAGTATTTGTTTATTTCTTTTGATGCACCAGCTTCATGCAGCGGTAGAATATGTTACGAGTGTTGATGAGCGGTGGTCGGTGGTAGGTGGTCGGTGTTGCGGTGTTGTTGGCTGCACTCACTGTGATGACGCGCACGAATCTCGCCTCGCGAGCGCGCTTGACCGTAACCCCGCATTCCTCAATTCACCACACTGTCCCGAGTCTGCTCATGGACACACATTTGACATTGGGACACCTCTCCTCTTTGTAAACTGGCCATGATATCTCGAAGTGAAAGCATGGGAGTATAGTGTACATCTGGTGATTCTGGACAGAAACCTTGTGCATGCAAACTTCACCCCAGCGCTCATTATCAGTCTTGACTCAATTGCGTTTTCAGCCGTGTTGGGACTCGCCTATCGTCTTGGTAATGTTTCCGGCATACCTAGCGAATCCTCGAGGCTTATGGTATCGCCGGTCCACTCATCTAGTCTTGAGCTAGTTCAATCTTGCATTTATATACGGAATGTTATGGTGATACAATCAGTCAGCGTCTTGTCCGCCGCACACCCACGGTGCCCACGCTGCTGTCAGAGCAGAGGCTTTACTTTCTGGCTACAAGCCACAAACCGAAGGGGAGTACATATATCCAGTCAGCTGAGTCGCTCTTCGCTGTGCATGGACGCTGTATCTGGCGTATGACCACCGGTAATGCTGGTCTCTCGTACATGTGAGTGACCATGTAGTCCGCAGATCCAGGACGGCAGTTGAGCGGAGACCCCGACAAAAATCCACATCGATCTCTTAGACTATACGTTCTAAAGACACATGCACCTTCATTCGTACAGTTCTCGAGCACATATGCCTGGGAGTGGAGATCAGGACGGCAGTTTTGGTGGAAAGCGGGGGGAGTAGATGGGTATGGCGCTGCTTTCGTCGCTTCTGAGGGTGCTGATTCTGCCCACTGGAGCTGGTACAGATCGTTCGACTTACCGCGAATGAGAACGTATAGTAGGTTGGAATCCGCAGTTGGAGTCATAAGACTCTATGCACGTGAATGTGACTGTTTTGACATCCATGCAAGGAGCAGAACGTATGGCAGACTAGCCCCCGGGATCAAGCGTTGGCTTTCGCTATCGTTGTGGAGTGGAGCATCGCTTCGACACACTTCCAATCCGCATGTATCCACATGTCCGCTTCTTCCCTGCAAGAGCATAAGCGATACCGCTCGGGGGAACGCGTGAGTCTTACGACCAGACCAGCCACCACAAGCCCTCACTCGTCAAATCGAGAAAAGGCAGAGAGGCATACATAACACTTGGAGGGAAGCATTCGACGTCCGCCGGGCGACAATATCCCTCACCAGCCGCTCTCGAATATTCGCGAGCAGGCCCAGACAGCCAACGACCAGCTCAAGTGATGCCGAAGCCGATGGGTCGATCGACGAGTCCTAGTGCCAAAGAAACAGTGGTGTTGACGCGGGCCTCTCTGAGACGCAGAAGCGTCTGAAGAGGACATTGCAAGAGTCGTACGCGCCCCCGAAAAGAATGCAAGGAACTCCGGTGAAAAACACCTTTGTAGTATGGAGAACGAAGCTCCTCGAAACAACAGTCATTTTCATGCATGATATGCTCCGATAGTACTAGGCTGTGCTTACTATGTACCAAACACAAAGGATAGAGCCGAGGCAACGATAATACATATGCTTCTCCGAGAGCCTAGGCTGTACTTTCTAGCTACGAACTACAAAGCGGAGAGCTGCGTCCAACGACGCGACGAGTCAGAGAAGATGCTTTCCTCGCCTCCGCGTAGCAGCTGGCGAGGGGCATATCAGGGGAGCGGGCCAAGAGAGGAAGGGAGGATGGTGAGCGAGGGATGGGCCTCGCCGGATCGAGTTACAAGTTACACCTAATCATATTAGTAGAGTATGGTGGGTTATCGCTAGTGTGCTCGCCTCCTGGTTAGGAAGCCTTGACAATACTTCTGATGTTCTGCTTGGAATTTTGACCAGATTCTCGACATTGTCTTGACGGCGGTACCGCTCAGCTTTTGATATACCTTCTCGTACTTGGTTTTGTACTCGAAGTGTGCCGGCATTAGACCCAACCAGTATCTTATTCGTCTATTGTGCCATAGATCGCCGCCATGCAGCATCGCTTTGGCAAGAGCTTGATGGGCGTCGGCGTCGTCATCGTCCACTCTTCTGGTGAGTTTGACCATTTCTTTGGTTATTCCCTCCTTAATGTCGTCCCAGGCCCGGCACACGAAGATGTGCCTCTCGTTCACCTGTTCTATGGGGGTAGCCTTACACAAATAGCAGGTTCTGACCTGTGTCTCCTTAAATATCTTATCTTCGGCACCCCTCTCGAGTATCCTCTCCGGGGTATTAAATTGCAGGGACCTTATTTGCAGTTGAATTCTCGCCGAGGCGGCAGACCTCGCGCGGGTGAACAAGTATGTGTCGTGATACTTAGCACAGTTCATGTCAGGCCTTTGTTTGCTTTTTTGGGATGGGCCTCTTTCTGACTCCTGGCAGACGAAGGCGTAAGTTGATCTCCGAGTTATCGTCACGTCTATCCTCATCTCTGCTCACATTAGGGTCGTTGTGACGCCTACTTTCATCCGCTATTCCTGCGGCATTCTGCGACTGAGGTTGGGTGTCGTCCTCGTCCTCAATGAGCTCAATCTGTGTCATGTTATCGTCATCCTGGTGTTCGTCTAGTACATGTGCAAGGTCTTCTGAGGCCTCCTCGTCCGGGTCGTTTAGGTTCTGTAGTTCCCAGTTTGCCAGGCGTAATTCCACCACCTCCTCGTCAAAGAACAGGATCGGATTATGGTTCTCGTGCCATATCCAGCTGAGAGTGGCCATCGTCTCCTCATGGGTGATACCCTCTTCCTTCGTGAGGAGGGCAAAAAGTCACAGTAGTCGTCCTTGAGGCGGAAGGGAGTTCCCTCGGACCTCGCTTCCTTTGCAGCAGTGTCTGCCCTACCATTGAGCTTGGCTTCTTCTGTTGTGTCGTCTGTATGTGCCTTGACGTGTTTGATGGTCACATTACCCGGGTGCTTCTTGATCGCTGTCGCGAGGAAGCGTACGATTTACCACTGAGCTGCGCCTTTTAGAGGACGGTTTATATCATTTGCAGACGAGCCTGATTTCAACGCAGAAAATTGCCGATGTAGCTCAGTGGTAGAGTATGCCTTTCGTAGATTACGTAATCTTTCGGATGCGTTAACGAGAGGGTGTGGTCCATGGTTCAAACCCATGTCTCGGCATTTTTTTGAAAGCCTCAACGGCCTTCCTACCTACTTTTTGCCATCTCGCCATGCATGACCAAGTTCTCTGCACCTTCTCCTATCCCCTGGCGACTTTTGCGGACACTTCTAGCCACTTGAGCAGGGTGCAGACGTGATTTACGGGCGAATGTGGCGGTCTGAACGCAGTGGTTTTGGGTGCCACTTTCGCCGCCGGCGCACCCGGTTAGACTTCAAGCCCATGTCTCGGCGCTGTGGCGTTCACTCGCGTTCCAGATCCTTGCGAGCGGCTTTCTTCATTGTCATCGATGTCATTCGTATATGAAGTTGCTGAAGCGGTGACGATGTTATCAATGCTTGGATGTTACTGGGTGGCGAGTGGATCGATCAGGATAAGGGTGTCACGCGGGGTGGGACTGAGACTGGTTGGTGAGGTTGTCATATTGTCGAACGGTGAAGTATGGCGCATCACAGAATTTGTCGTAGGTGACGATAACGTAGTGGGCCAGTATACAGCGCGCGTTGATAATACATACCATACAGTAGAGTATCGTGCAGAAAGATACGATGATTTGAAAGATGGTGAAAGAGAAAGAGGAAGAGAAAGAGGAAGAGAAAGAGGAAACGAAATTGATGGGGATTGAGAGGTGAAGTGAATTCAGTCACTGCTCTTTATGGGTTTTTCGAGACTCCCAGCCCACCCGTCAGGCCGGATAAGCTTCCCGCCTTGGCCGGACATTACTCCAACCTGGGGGCATTGTGATTGATGGTTGAAGCGGAGAGTGATGGGGCTCGGGGAGCAGCACATGATCGTTCATCTGACCGAGGTCTTCGGTGCTTGGGGTCTATTGTATATGTATCGACATGCCCTCGGAATCGAAGAATAATCCTGAGGAGAGGATGTTTCAGGGATCTCTACACATCAAAAGTATTGTTCTCGACTCCACTGTGGCGCCCATCAGTGGCGCCGGCGTGTGTATCAGGGTATTCGTGTGTGTGATACTTGTGTATTCGGGTATCCACCTACTTGGCATGTCTTGTCGCCGGGTCATTTGTAAGCAACCGATCGCTGTTCTGTTGTCTCGGTCTTCCTGTATCTGGCGTTCGGAGGTAGAAAGTCTCGGGTGAGCAGACAGTGTTCTTCTAACTTCCTCTACTCCAAATCCCCAGGGCGGCCGGAGAGCCCAACGTGTCAGTGAACTCGGGTCATTCACAGCAGAGGGTGATCAGTGCGACTGCAGTCGGTCCGTCATAGGCTTACACCAATGAAGGCGATTGAGTACAGTATATCATGCATGCATGCATGCCTATAGCAATTGGGCTCTTGCATTGGCAATGCCTTGATCAAGGCAAGAATACCCCAAGCATCCCCGCTGTATATGTCGGCGGTCTCCGCATAAATGACCAAGCATTATGGCGCGCCGGTGCATGGGCTTGAACCCTGAACCATAAGAATTTCCCAGCACCAGCACCGTTTTCTTTTTTTTTTTGTTTGGCTCTTAGAACCATAAGCTCGCACGGTGGATAGCAAACATACAGCTCGTTCTTCTCTATTTGTGTGAAGTTTGAACTTGCTCCTCCCCGCATTTCAAATAATACCTACTCTCACATTTCCCAAACCTACTTACTTGGACAAACCGACAAAATGGGTAACGTGAGTGCTTAGTCCGCTTGGCCCCCGTCCACCGAGCGTCAAATTGTGGGCAGAGTGAGCGAGGGGACGAACGCTTCTTCGCCTTGGCTGTATTGGCAATGTCACATCTATGGAGAAGCAACAAACAAGCTGATTTTAATCATACCTGCCTATTATGTCGCGTCTGATATTCCGCCCCACACTGTAGGGCGCCAAAGCTGCTCACAAGCGAGAGAAGAACACCGGCAAGCCTGCTGGTAAGGGCGAGGCTTCTCAGCTCAAGTCCAACTTGGTGAGTGGAGCCTGGCGATGATCGAATGTCTGTACACGGTCCGGGCATGTACATCAAGCAGCAAATATTGCGGATGCCTGGACTTCTTCCTCTGCCCGGCTGTATGCTGGTAATATAGGAACTACCCAGTGCGAGGCTTCATGACGGATGTTGATATTGTTAATCCTTCTTCTCCCAACGCAGGCCGCTCAGTCGATTCAGTGTGATACCTGCAAGGCCACCTTCCAGGGAACTTCCAAGCAGCCTCTGTGAGTGTATTAGGTTTTGCTCTGCTCTGCTCGTCAATATCTCCAACGACCTAGCGTATGCCGTCTTAACAACCGGTCAAGCGCGTCACTTCATCATTCATCATGTATTGCACGTGCACCTCGCAATCACTTCGCCCACTTCCACACCGACCAAGCCATTCTAGGCCGAATCATCCCCAATGCTGACCTCTACTCTTCTCATGTATTCAAACTGCAGCCTCCAGCAACACGTAGACTCCCGACACCCCAAGTTGACCCTCGCCACCTGCTTCCCCAAGTTCGTCGCTACCGCTTAAGCTTAATCCGATCCACAATCATTATCACAGCTGCTCTCTCTGTTCCATTTCGCGATTCGCTGCTCTTCATTCCGTCGATCATCAAGCTTTTCTTTTAGATATTTGGGGTATCATGATTTAGTGTAGGGTGGTGAGATGCACTAGTTGTCAGAATCCCATTCACCCCGTTTACAAAACAGATATTTCACGCCAACGCTCCAATGCCCGGCCTTTATCATTCTCTGGCCACGACCACTCAAGTAAAGGGACAGGTTTTACGGCCTAGTGTCGAACTGAGAGTTCCTGGTGACACTCCCTGCTTTGGTATAAGCTGAAACTGGCTGGTCGCCTGTCAGGGTCATTGATCACTGCTTACCGCGTGCTATTTGTTGCATGGATGCTGATGAACAGAAAAGAATGGATATGTATCCTGATAAATGGATTAATGCTACTCGTACACTCGTGATAATTTCCCTCGTCAAACGCAACCGTGATTTATCCAAGAAATCCACTCAGAAGCCTGTCTTGCCTCGTCCTTCGGGCCTCGCCCTTCAGGTGCTCGCTGCCAATCCTGGAACTCTGAACTCCAATTGATCAATATCTCCCACCTTGTCTAGCGATCATCGCTCTGTAAAACCGCCAATCGATGTCAACACTTTCGATCTTTTGCAATTGTATTGTGCGAAGACTGTACTCACGCTCGCTCGGGATTCATGCCCGCTCCGGCTGGTCCACCGGGCGGCCCGGATCTTTGCCCTCCAGGAGGCATACCTCCTCCATATCCACCAGGACCTCCAGGCGGCCCTCCCGCAAATTGAGGCGGGGGAGGTCCACCGTGTCCCTGTGGAGGCATACCGTAGCCGTTCGGAGGCATGCCATAGGCTTGTTGGGGTGGGGCTCCGTCTGATGTCGCACACCAAAATCGTCAGTAGATGGTCTCGGTGATGAACTGGGATCACGTTTAAGGCAGATCGACGTTACGCGAGCACTCACAAGGATTAGGCGTCATGCCAGGCTGAGGCTGCATCGGCGTTCTACCAGGTATATACCCGGCCACTGGCGTCGCACCCCCTCGTCCACCGACAGCAGCGGGTGTCCTGCCTCCGGGCGTTCGACCGCCAGGTAAAGGTGTTCGTCCCACTCGGATACCGGGCGTCTTGCCACCGCTACCTTGATCGGCCAGACGAGCAGAGTATTGCAGCTTGAAAGCATTACAAAGCTCTGTTACTCCGGGTACCTCGGCATTGTTCAGCTTATAGGCTCCGGGTAAGACTTGCACGGGCTGCGTTAAATGTCATTAGCGAGAGAATCCAGGAGCAGTCACAACTTCAGGAGTGTTCACCTACCCAAGTCTGGATCACACCGCCGTCTTTGGTCGATTTATTGAGGAAACACAGCTTGACATATCCCGGTCGATCAGAGTCAATCGAGAAACCGTACATGCTTCGTCCAGGATGAGCCTGGACGTAATTCTTCAGGTACGCCTCTACAAGCGATGGGAAACAAATCAGTTAAACTCCCCGACTCTTGAAGCATTGCATGTCAGACGGATGACCACTCACCCAGCTCATCCTCGGGCTTATACTTCTCGTGCATCTGCATCTCGTCCAACTTCCTAGCGATGGCCTTGACATGGTTGATGATCAACTCGTCCAGATCACTGTACGAGTACCTGCCGGCCACTCGCAATATTCTACCCACGGAATATTCGTTGGGCTTGTCGATCTCCTGCACGTCGATATGCTGATAGACATCTTCGTCCACCTTCCATGTCACAGCGAGATGATCGGCTCCTTTCGACGATGGTCGGATCACGACGTCTCCTCGATGTTGCGAAGCGAGGAACTGTTCCGCTTGACCAGAGTTCAGAACGTGCCAATTGGGATGATTGACCACTCGCTTGACTTTACCGGCCTGACGTCTCTTCTTGGCGGCAGCAGCGTCCTCCGCAGCGGCTTTTCGAGCGAGATCATTATACGGCTCGTCTCTGAATGGCTGTAAGAAGGCAACAGCCTGGACCAAATCGGAAGGTCGCGTCGAGATCCTGACTTGGAATCGGTTGGGTTCAGCCTGGATGACGACAGCTCTGACCGATTGACGGGGCTTGAACACTTCCTCGCACGACGTAATAGGCGGCTGATCTTCATCGGCCACATAGTCCCTCTCCAAAATCGCGTCCATACCAGACTCGAGTTGACAGAATACCCTGGCTGAGATAGCCTTTCGCACGGTAGCAGTGACCTTGAGACCTCTTCCGATCGTTCGTTCCGTCTCACCGGTGAGCATCGTAACGACCTCCCATTCTGTCGGTACGTAGAACGCAGGTCTTCGATCGGCTCGATATCGAATCAACTCGTTGACAATCTCTCCGAGCGCATGTCGTTTGTTGCCTTCACCCTGTTGTTGCAAGTTGAACGCAAAGTCGTCCAAGTTCAATTCACCCAATTTCTGCGCTCGCTTGTCATCCAGCATCAAGGTCTGGACCACTTCAGACTTGTGTCGATCTGTAACATCCTCAACGTCGAGATCGAGCGCATCTTGACACATCTTCTGGGCAAACTCGTAGTCTTCGG